AAAAAAAAATCTTCTCAACAACTTTTCTAATGCATTACCGATTATTAATCAGTCATATAACCTCATACCCTTCAGTAGACTACATCTTTTCTTGGAGATAAGGATATAGTAAAGAATAATATTAATTGATTAACACTTTCTTTGACACTGTTCATTTAAGAAATAAGACATCAAAGGCTTTACCTATTGCATGCAGTAATTAAAACATGAATTTCTCTTAGGGTTTGTTTGGTTTATTAATTAGAAACAAAAGTTTTTTTAAGGAAGCTGTTCATCGGAGAGTTGAAGGCTTAGTCCATGAAAAAAATATTTTGGAGAGAAAAAATAATTTTTTTATTTTGAACACGAAGATCAGACTCAAATCCTACACTCCGACTTACATGAAAATGCCCTTACAACGAAGTAGGCAACCACTAAACCACCAAAGACTTTTTGAGAAAAAAAAATTTAAGTTATAATAGTTTACAAAATAAATATAAATAATTATTGTGATATAATCAATTAAAAAATAATATATTCAATTATACATTTAAAAATATTTTTTTGAATTCTTGACCTGGAATAATTGTTGAGAAATATAATTGATTTCTTTCTCTTTACTTCTTGATTTAAAATTTCAAGCCAAACTAAACTGTCAAATTTCAATGACTTTCCTAAAATATTTTACAAAATTCTAATAAACAAAATAGGCCTTTAAGTTTAAGAAATTAATTAACTGCCCGAAACAATTTTTAGTCAACTCAATTAATTTTAGTTTTCTTGAAAGAACCCTAATTAATTAGCACGAAATGAAGAAAATGTCCTATTCAATCCAATATCAATTTTATAAGAATGATCATGAAGCACGCAAGCGCAGATCAGTTTGATTTCACACCAGAGATGATTCAATTATTTCATGGCTAGGGCTCGCTGTCGGAACACAGATGTCATTTTTTCGTTTGGAGCTAGTATTTTGCATGCAGGGACGCTTTAGTCACCTTCGTGCTTGGAGTTTTCTTGCTTGTTTTTTTTTTCCCCAGGGATCGACACAATTCCACATAGTGGATTAAATTGTGAGGTTCCCTAGGCCACATGTTTATTATATATTTATATCCACTAATTCTGTTTTCTATTCTACCCTCACTTTTTTTTTTTTTTTGGTAAATAAAGAGTACGAAGGAATAAAGCAACTAGGTTCTGGGGTAGCAAACCCCTACACTATCAGCAAGACAAAATAAGCCCACATCAGGCGGGCAGTCATATAACAGATCAATAGACGAGAAAGATGAAAGATCAACCAACGCCCTTCTTAGTAAGGGCGTCTGCAGCCATATTACACTGCTGAGGACTGTACTGGATCCGCACTTGATGAATATTGCTCAAAAGGGCCTTGCAATCCATGATGAGATTACTGTGAGGGTGAAAATTATTCACATCATCAGTTAAAAGTTTAATAGCAATCTGACAATCGGACTCGATAATAACTTTCTGGAGTTGGAGATTGACAGCAATAGATAAACCATCTTTGATGGCCCAAAGCTCAGCAGCAAGGGCAGTAGTATCAGGAATATTGGTGATACTATTCTACCCTCTTTCACACTAAATAATTGTATGTAAAATGATAAAATAATTCACACCTGCCTAATTCTTTTTGCCCAGATGTACCACGCGTTTTACTAGTAATGAGACATTCACACATCAAATTAGAAAAAGATTATCTTTTATAAGAGGAAACAGAAATTCAGGCCTCCTTGACAAAAAACTGTTAGGATGACTTTAATAAACGATGTCGTTTTGATAAAAAAAAAAAAAAAATCAAATAATACCTTCTCCTCCCTTTCTCTCTAAGTTCCTTCCTGCCAAATCCCATTCCCATCGTTTCTTCCCCTGCTCAACTCATCCTCAAATCCTTCTCTCTTATTGGAAATTATTGTTCTAAATACTATAGGCCCGTCATCATCGGTCGTGCAAAGTAGACTAGCCCTTCCTATGTAAAATCCAACTCCTTTTGAGAAAATAAATATCATAGGCCCCATCTTTAGACCCATTCAAGACTATGCTTATTGGAGCTTTTCTGCTGCCACAAATTTACAAAATTTTTAGATGCAATTTTCTTTTCAAACTATTATAAATCCATGAAAATGAACTTGGGGGTTTCGAAGCCCTCTTTTCTTAAATTGAGGTTGAAGATAGAGATAGCTTAAAAGTAAAAAAATTTTCAATTTTATGAACAAATATTAGGTTTATCCTCATGTTAAGAGTCACATTAACCAAATCTATCTAATTTTACAATGTGAAAATCACTAATTTCAGATTCCAGTGTTAGGAGAATCAAAATTAAAATTTCAATCCATATTTAGAATTTTGATTTTAAAAGCCAAAATTGAATAATTGGAAGAAAAATCAAAGAAATGGAGGAACAGAAGATGCTCAGAAGTTGTTAGAATGGATTAGAGTGTTATCCTCACTATAAATATTGGATTAACGAGATTTTATAAACTCTTCATCGCTGTGCCTACTCCATCCAAAAGAAGTTGTTCACAAATACATAACAGAGAAACGTGATGAGGAAGAAAGGATGGGGTTTTAGTAGAGGCCACTTCCCTTTGTAGTCAACCCAATTAGGGTGTTTGATTGAATGAGAATTTTCAATAGATTCGAGAAGATGAGAATGGGATTTAGCAGGAAGGAACTTTGAGAGGAAGGGAAGAGAAGGTATCATTTGGCTTTTTTTTTCTTTTTTCTTTTTTTATCAAAACAACATCGTTTATTAAGGTTGTCTTGGCATATTTTTGCTAGGAAAGCCTGAATTTCTGTTTTCTCTTTTTATTAATAATACATAATTCATAATTAGAAAAGAAAAGAAAAGATATATGTAGTGTCTCTATAATGAAGTAGTTGAGAGAAAAATTACAATATTTTTTTAACTTTATGTTTGGGTTGAATGAAGGGAAAAAAAAGAGGGAATTATATCTTTTTATTTTTTTTCTATTCTCCTCTTTTCTCTTTTTATTACTTAGATAAATAATTAAATTAAAAAAAATAAAGTAAAGAATAATTGTCACCTTCCCTCCCCTCTAATTTTTTTGATAACAAAATAAATATTTTTTTCTCCTTCTCCTCACATTTCTTCCATTCCCCTCAACTTTCAAACATATTATAAATAAATGCTCTTTGACCCTACAAAAGGTTCTAAAACGATAGAGATTATACTTACGATTTTTGACTTACGATTTTTGACTTGATAATAAAAAACAATTATTTCTTTTTTTCCTTTTATACTCATTCACATATTTATGGCTCAATTTCTTTTACTTTTATTTAAAAAATTACTAGTATGCACTACTACTT